TTCACCTTGCTACCTCTAGCATCCATCACAATACTATGTATGTAATAAGTTGAGACTCAGTGTTTGTTGAATGATCAAATTAATATATCTCCTTGGTACCTGGAGGACTCTAACACATTGTTCAGGTATCAGCTCAGTGGCCACTTTCTTACGGAGGCCCTCTCTGATTCCCAGACGAGGTTACTACACCTGTGACAGACCCTGTTATGCGCCACACCAACCCCTCTTGGATGAAGGTTTGCACCAGCTGTGGTGTGGGAAGGCTGACAGCAGACGATCTTCAGGCATTGCTTTCAGTGGATTGTGAAAAAGTTAAATAAATAAGTGGGCCTTTAAAAAAGTAAAGATATTATTAAAACTAAAAATGAAAAGATAATGTTCCCATGAATAAGAGCGGTTACTTCTCTTGTGGCAAGGTTACCTTGTATAATAATTAGTGTCCTTTCCATTCCGAGAAACAGAAATCTAACTCAAACTTGCTTAAGGAAAAAAAAAAAAAAGGTGTTTATTGGTTCATTTGACTGCAGAACTGTCTCAGGCATGGCTGGTTCCAAGAGGTCAAATGATGTCATAAGAACTCTCTCCCTCTCCATTTGTCTCTCACATCTATTTATTTCTCTGTGGGTGATGACCTCATTCTTTTTTTGTTTTAACTGAAAATAGCCTTCTTGTGATTTGGGAAAATGGCCTCAAGCAGCTCCAGCTCACCTTATCCTTACAGCTCTTGATCTAGTAAGAACAGAGAACTCATCTTTTTTTCAGAATTCCTATGAAAATTTTCACAAAGGAAACAAAAGGGCTCTTATATCATTCAGGATCTAGTCTGGAGACAGAAACCACACAGGTTATTTGAACCCTGTCTTAGTTATCCAGTGCTACTGTAAAAGAAATACCACAAGTGGATGGCTTTAACAAACAGAAATGTATTCTCTCATAGTCTAGTAGGCTAGAAGTCCAAATTCAGGGCACCAGCTCCAGGGAAAGGCTTTCTCCCTCTGTCATCTCTGGGGGAAGATCCTTGTCATCAATCTTCTCCTGGTCTAGGAGCTTCTCAGATGCAGGGACGCCGGGTCAAAAGGACACGCTCTGCGCCCGGCGCTGCTTTCTTCGGGGTATGAGGTCCCCCCGTCTCTCTACCCGCTTCTCTCTTTTATATCTCAAAAGAGGCTGACTTAAAACACAATCTAATCTTTTAGATTGAGTCCTGCCTTATTAACATAACTGCTGATAATTCCACCTCGTTAACATCATAGAGGTAGGATTTACAACACATAGGAAAATCACGTCAGATGACAAACGGTGGAAAATCACACAATACTGGGAATCGTGGCCTAGCCAAGATGACACATATTTTTGGAAGACACAGTTCAATCCACGACAAAAGGGGGAAATTTAACATAAGTAGAACAGTAAAAGGTAGTTAACTGTTAAAAGTTAACACACCTCCCTTTTTCTTTTTTTTTAACTAGAAAGGGTTTAAAGATAATAATAATAATAATGACTCTAATAGGTCCTAAAGTAGCAGGTGCAAAAGAGCAGCTATTAACTCTAGGCTAAAGATAAGTGAAGTGAAGAATAAAGAATTAAATGATCCTTTCCCCACCAAGGCTAAGATTCAGATATCTTTGAAAAGAGTGTGCCTACCACAGGAATGGGAGCATTGGTGGTTCAGTGGTAGAATTCTCACCTTTCATGCAAGAGATCCTGGTTCAATTCCTGGCCAAGGCACCTCATGTGACCCACCACCCCTCTGTCAGTGGAGACTTGCGTGTTGCTATGATGCTGAGCAGGTTTCAGTGGCGCTTTCAGACTTCGTTTTCTAGTGCTGCTATAACAGAAATACCACAACTAGATGGCTTTAACAAAGAGAAATTTATTATCTCACAGTATAGTAGGCTAAAAGTCCAAATTCAGGACATCAGCTCCAGGGGAAGGCTTTCTCTCTCTGTTGGCTCTGGAGGAAGGTACTTGTCATCAGCCTTCCCCTGGTCTAGGAGCTTCCCAGCACAGGGACTCCAGGTCCAAAGGACTTGCTATTCTCCTGGCTCTTGTTTCTTGGTGGTATGAGATCCCCCTGCCTCTCTCTCTGCTCACTTCTCTTTTATATCTCAAAAGAGATTGGTTTAAGACACAACCTAATCTTGTAGATTGAGTCCTGTCCCATTAACATAACTGCCGCTAATCCCACCTCATTAAAGTCATAGAGATAGGATTTACAACACATAGGAGAATCATATCAGATGACAAAATGGTAGACAATCACACAATACTGGGAATCATGGCCTAGCTAAGTTGACAGGTATTTTGTGGGGACACAATTCAGTCCATGACACAGACTAAGATGGTCTAGGAAGAAGGGCCTGGCATTCATCTTTGGAAAATCCTATGGACCACAATAGAACTAATGATCGTAGGCATGGTGAAGGACTGAGCAACACTTTGTTCCATTATGCTTGGGGTTGTCATGAGTCGGGGACCAACTCAAGGGCACTCAACAACCACAACAGGAATGAGAATTCTGTGAGAGAGTGTGGACAGGCTTCAACTGGTGTGTAAAAGCAGCCCGCTATTGCCAGAGGGTATGAGTGAGCTGCGTCTCTTCCTCTGCAGTGGCTGCTAATAGGAAACACATAGACTGAGGGTACAGCTGAGCACCCCTGTACACCCCTAATAATATTGGAGGACCAGACCTGGAAGGGAAACGTCTTCTTGCTTCCATTGCCTCGCAGGGTTATTCCTTTGCCCTCTATTGATGAAGTTTAACAGAAGGAAAAATGTTTACAGGGCACAGCTCCAAGATCACAAAGCTAAGCAAAGAAGGATGGGTTTGGCACTAAGAGATGATAAATTAATAACTGGCACAATCCTGCTTAAGTCATGTGCACTGCCCTGAATCCATCACTGTGGCCAAGGGAAAGAGGACTCTAATTAGCCTACACCAGGCAAGGATCATGTACTCATTTCTATGGTCAAGGGTAGGGGGAGCAGCTCTACTTCTACCACATGGAATAGCTTCCCCACAGAAAAGATGGTATCTTCTACCAGAAGAAAGGGGAGGAATGCTAGGCAAAGAAAACAATAGATTCCCTTTGTATCTTGACCTTAAAATGTCTAGTTCCATTTGGGATTGTCAGTATAGAGGAAGGAAAAGTAAGGCCTTTCTTTAAGCCTGCTAAAACTACATTGGCTCATTCATTCATTCATTTAAAAGAGGTTTATTAAGCACCTAATATGGAGGATTTGGTAGTGCAGTGGTTAAGCACTCAGCTGCTAACCAAAAGGCCGGTGGTACAAACCTACTAGTCACTGTGCAGGAGAAAGATGTGGCAGTCTGCTTTCGTAAAGATTACTGTCTTGGGGGTCTGCGGACCATGCTTTCAGGGGACATCTAGGTCAATTGGCATAACAAAGCTTATTAAGAAAATGCTCTGCATCCTACTTTGGTGAGTGGCGTCTGGGGTCTTAAAAGCTAGCAAGCAGCCATCTAAGAAGTATCAATTGGTTGCAACCACCTCTAGTAAAGGAGAATGAAGAACACCAAAGACCCAAGGAAAGTATTAGCCCAAGAGACAGAAAGGGCCACATAGACCAGAGACTTCATCAGCCTGAGACCAGAAGAACTAGATGGTGCCTGGCTACCACCAATGACCACCCTGACTGGGAACACAACAGACAGTCCCTGATGGAGCGGGGGAATGGCGGGATGCAGAACTCAAACTCTAGTAAAAAGACCAGACTTAATGGTCTGAGACTGGAGGAACCCCAGAAAGTACAGCCCCTGGACTCTCTGTCAACCCAGAACTAAAACAATTCCCAAGGTCAACTCTTCAGACAAAGATTGGACTGGACCGTGGGACATAAAATGATACTCGTGAAGAGTGTACTTCTTAGCTCAAGTAGATACATGAGACTAAATGGGCAGCTTCTCTCTGGAGGTGAGATGAGAAGGCAGAAAGGGGTAGGAGCTGGTTGAATGGACATGGGAAATCAGGGGTGGAAAGGAGGAGTGTGCTGTCACAGTATAGGGAGAGTAATTAGTGTCACATAACAATGTATGTATAAATTTTTGTATGAGAGACTAACCTGAATTGTAAACTTTCACTTAAACTACAACAATAAAAAAAAGGAAAGGGAAAGAAAGAAAAAAAGATTACTGTCTTGGAAACCCTACGGGGCAGTTCTACTCTGTCCTATGGGGTCACTGTGAGTCAGAATTAACTTGATAGCAACAGGTTTTTGTTTTTGTTTTTTTGATTTATGATTTACCAGTTGTATTAGTGTCCTAAGGCTGCCGTAACAAAGTACCACAAACTGGGTGACTTAAAACAACAAAAATTTATTCTCTTACAGTCCTGGAGGCTAGAAGTCAGAAATCAAAGTGCCAGCAGGGTTCTACTCTCTGAAGGCTTTAAGAGAATATTATTTCCTTGTCTCTTGTGGTTTCCAGTGGTCCTGGCATACCTTGGCTTGTGGCAGCATCACTCCAATCTCTGCTTCATCTTCACATGGCCCTCTTTCCTGTGTCTCTGTGTCTCTTCTCTTTATAAGGACAAATTTCATATTGGATTAGGGCCCACCCTACTCCAGTATGACCTCATGTTAACTAATTATATCTGCAAAGACTATTTCCAAATAAGGTCACATTCACAGGCACTGAGGGTGAGGACTTAAACATATATTTTGCGGGGACACAAATCAACCCATAACACCAGTACTGGCATCTTTACAGACACAGGCAGAATTGCAAGTTCTAAGAATAAAAAGACAATTGAATAAAATAGTTGAGATAGGAAAATAGTACCTTTATTTACAGATTTCAAAATCCTAAGAAATCTATCTACCATTTTGTAACAAAGTTTTTTACTACTGCTCATGGTCAAATTAGACCAAAGCAATATGGCATAGTGGTTAAGAGCACAAATTATGTAGCAAGACTGTTGTTGGTTGCCGTTGAGTCAATTCTGAATCATGGTGACCCCGTGTGTGCAGAATAGAAGTGCTCCATAGGGTTTTCAAGGCTGTGACCTTTTAGAAGCAGATGTCCAGGTCCGTCTTCCAAATCTCCTCTAGGCGGGCTAGTAGTCAAACACTTAACCATTTGTGCCACCCATAGACTTCTCCAGCACCACCTCACTGTGACACTGGGCAAGTAACTAATAACTTATGCCTAGGTTTTGTCACCTGTAAAATTTGAATAACACTGGTACCTGCCTTATAGGATTAAATAAGCTAAGTTCTGTAAAGCTCTTAGAACAGCACCTGGTTCATAGTAAGCACTACATAATTGTTAGCTATTATTATGAATTGGTCATTGCTATTTGGATATCAAGTAATGTGACTTCGTTAACTAATATGAAATCCCCTCCTCTCCAAAATAAGGAGAATCTTGTTTGAAAACATCTGTCTAATTGCTATACATATTTTAGTACCCACTAACGAGGGCATTCTATGGAAATAAATTTTATTATTTTGATTATATTTTGACATTGAAGAAGCCTCTTCAGGAACATAAATCATATATTCCACAGAATTAAACATACGTACACAGACTTGTCATTAATGTTATTCTATAGCATTCAGAAGTAAAATTCAAACCTTTCTTTACATCATAAAATGAAAAATAGTTACAGTATTATATGAAAAGATTTTAAAACTTCCCTAAAAATAAATTTGTATATGTATTTAGTCATAGAAGCTCTTTTAGAATTTCTTCTTCCTTTTTAAAAGAAAATTGCCTCTGTAAATCCAGTGTTTTAAAATGACACCAGAACATTCCGAGCAACAGATGTATTCTATCTATGCCTGAGTCAGAGAAACCCTTCCTGAATGAGGACGCTGGCACTGACTATGAATCACTTTAGCCTTCTTATTGTGACACATTCTGCAACATCAGTGATAAACTGAGGTCTGAGATATCAGATCTCTCAACAAGGTCTCATCAGTGAATGTTGGAATGTCAGGGAACAGTGGTTACAAAAAGAAAATGGCATTTCTTTTCCTTTCAGGGATAGGGCTGTATTTTCTAATATCTCTTAAAATGGTTAGAAGTTATGGAATTCTATGGAGTATCTATAACATATGGAAGAAACAACTTCACGAATTACCTCCATTTAGAATTTAACCTATCATAACGTGCATGTGCACACACACACAGAAATACACACACTCACACACACACACACACACAATGTTCCTAAACTAGAATAATCAAGGAAATGCTTTTGTTAAAGAGCAAATATTTCCTAGAAAGTAAAATTAGGATATGATACAATAATAGAAATTTTTGTGTGTAACAGAAAATCAAATATTTTGATAACAACATTGTCCTAATTCCTACAATAAAATTTAAGAAATATAACACAGAATTGGCATTTTTCAACCTGGAATATAATCATACAAGGAGCTCTGGTGGTGGAGTGGTTAGTGCTCGGCTGCTAATAGAAAGGTCAGTGATTCAAATCCACCAGCAGCTCCTCCGGAGAAAGATGTGGCGGCCTGCTTACATAAAGATTACAGCTTTGGAAACCCAATGGGGCAGTTCTACTTTGTCCTACAGGGGCGCTATGAGTCAGAGTCAGCTCGACAGCAATGGGTTTTTGGTTTTGCTCATATAAACCGAAAAAACCAAACCCGTTGCCGTCGAGTCAATTCCTACTAACAGCGACCCTACAGGATAGGGTAGAACTGCCCCATAGGGTTTCCAAGGAGCAGCTGGTGGATTCAAACTG